CGAGCCCCGATTGCGTCGGCCCCTGCGCGCTGCTCCAGTCCGGCCCCTGCCCGCTGCTCCAGCCCGGCCCCTGGGCGGGAATTCATCATTCTCCCCATTTCACACCCCGGCACCAACGAGGCACAGAGAGGCGAGGGGCTGTCGCGGAGCCTGGAGGGGCTGAAATCCGCGAGTCCTGCTCCCCAGGACGCTGCTTTGACCACTAGACCCGCACTCCCCTGCAAAATTGCCAACCAGGTGAGAAAAACAAGCTGGAATCCCCCTCCCCCCATGTACCTCTGAGGCCTGGATTCTATGGGGTGGTTTGTTTTCAGTGGGGCTTGCAGCCAGGGGTGTGTTGATTAGTATTAGCAAATGAAAAGGGGGAAAATCTTCAGAGGTGGTGGGGAAAGACATAAGAAAGCCAGACTGGGTCAGCCCAAAGGTCTGTCTAGCCCACTGTCTTGGCTCCAACAGTGGCCAATACCCGGTGCCCTAGAGGGAGTGAACAGAACAGGGAATTGTCACCCATTCCCACCCTCTGACAAACAGAGGCTAGGGACACCATTCCTGCCCATCCTGGCTAATAGCCATTGCTGGACCTAACCTCCATGAATCTGTCTAGCTCTTTAAAGTCCTCTGGCTTCATAACATCCTCTGGCGAGGAGTTCCACAGGTTGACTATGTGCTGAGTGAAGAAAAACTCTCTTTTGTTTGTTTAAAACGCCATGACCCATAGAACACCACCCCTAGGCGTAACCACGACACCCCAGCATCTTCGATCTGGAGCTAAACTGTCTGCACAAGAGACTGAATTTGTGCCCCACCACAAAATCTGACCCCCCACGAATGTAGAGAACTAGAAGAATTCTTCCGTTGACTCTGTGTCAAAAAGAATTTCTTTCCGCAAAAAGCCCCGATCCCCATTTTCGCGATCGGGGCTTTTTTGCGGAAAACAAACCTGAGCTGTCTACACTGGCCCTTTTGCACAAAAGTTTTGCGCAAAAGGACTTTTGCCTGAACGGGAGCAGAATAGTATTTCCGCAAGAAGCACTGGTTTCTTACAGTAGGAAGTCAGTGCTTTTGCGGAAATTCAAGCGGCCAGTGTAGACAGCTGGCAAGTTTTTCCGGAAAAGCGGCTGATTTTCCAGAAAAACTGGTCAGTCTAGACACAGCCTTGGTGACCCCTAGTTCTTATATTGTGAGAACAAGTAAATAACTTTTCCTTATTCACTTTTTCTACACCAGTCATGATTTTATAGACCTCTGTCATATCCCCCGCTGCCGCTTAGGCTTCTCTTTTCTAAACTGAAAAGTCCAAGACTTTTTAATCTCTCTTTATATGGGACCTGTTTCAAACCCCTAATCATTTTTGTTGCCCTTTTCTGAATCTTTTCCAATGCCAATATATCTTTTTTTAGATGAGGCAACCACACCTGTATGCAGTATTCAAGATGTGGGTGTCCCATGGTTTCATATAGAGGCAATAAGATATTCTCTGTCTTATTCTCTCTCCCTTTTTAAATGATTCCTAACATTCTATTTGCTTTTTTGACTGCTGCAGCACATTGAGTGGATGTTTTCAGAGAACTATTGACAATGACTCCAAGATCTCTCTCTTGAGTAGTTATAGCTAAATTAGTCCCTGTCAGATTGTATGTATAGTTAGGATTATTTTTTCCAATGTGCATTACTTTACGTTTATAAACATTAAATTTCATTTGCCATTTTGTTGCCCAATCATTTAGTTTGGTGAGATATTTTTGAAGCTCTTCTCAGTCTACTTTGGTCTTAACTATTTTGAGCAGTTTAGTATCATCTGCAAATTCTCACTTCACTGTTTACCCCTACAAATAGGTTGAATAGGATTGGTGCCAGTACAGACCCTTGCGAGACACCACTTGTTACTTCTCTCCCATTCTGAAAACTTACGATTTATTCCTACCCTTTGTTTCCTTTCTTTTAACAAGTTATCGGTCCATGAGAAAACCTTCCCTCTTATCCCATGGCAACTTATTTTACTCAAGAGCCTTTGGTGAGGAAACAAGTCAAAGGCTTTCTGGAAATCTAAGTACACTATAGCCACTGGATCCCCCTAGTCTGCATGTTTGTTGACCCTCCTCCCAAAGAACTCTATTAGATTAGTAAGGCATGATTTCCCTTTACAGAAACCATGCTGACTTTTCCCCAACAAATTGTATTTATCTACGTGTCTGAAAATTCTATTTGTTACCTAAGTTTCAACTAATTTGCCCGATATTGACATTAGACTTACCGGTCTGTAATTACCAGGATCACCTCTAGAGCCTTTTTTAAATATTGGTGTCACATAAGCTATCTTCCATCTTCTGGTAGAGAAGCTGATTTAAATAATATATTACATACCAGAGTTAGCAGTTCTGCAATTTCACATTTGTGTTCCTTCAGAACTCTTGGATGGATACCATCTGGTCCTGGTGAGTAACTTGTTACTGAGAAGTTTATCGATTTGTTTCAAAATCTCCTCTAATGACACCTCAATCCGAGACAGTTCCTCAGATTTGTCACCTAAAAAGAATGGCTCAAGTATGGGAATCTCCCTAACATCCTCAGCCGTGAAGACTGAAGCAAAGAATTCATTTAGTTTCTTTGCAATGACGTTATCATCTTTGAGTGCGCCTTTAGCATCTCGTTTGTCCAGGGGCCCTACTGGTTGTTTAGCAGGCCTCCTGCTTCTGATGTATTTAAAAACATTTTGCTAGCTGTTCTTCAGACTCCTTTTTGGCTTTCCTTATTATATTTTTACACTTAATTTGACAGAGTTTATGCTCCTTCCTATTTTCATCACTCGGATTTAACTTCCACTTTTTAAACAATGCCTTTTTATCTCCCACCGCTTCTTTTACTTAGTTATGTTACAGAAAACAATCCAATTCCAGGCACATCCCATTTTCCTGGCACAACCAAACCCTGGCCTTGCTTTAAGTTATGGTAAGATGTAGCTGCATACCAAATTTGGTGGTGCTAGCTCTTACTGTTTAGGAGGAGTTCTTAACCAAATGGACTCACACACAGACACAAACCTCTGAAATATGTATATAGACTTCTGGAGTTTCCCATGCAAGCTACCAGAAATGCAGGATGATGACCTTAAGGATCTGAAAGAATTTCTCAGTGAGAATGTTACATATTCAGAGCAGCTGGAAATAAATAGGAATGGGAAAGTAACTGATTCTTCTCTTGATGTGTATTGAAAATTAGCTCCCAGACCACTACTTAGCAGTTTAACCTTGCCTCAAAACCAAACATGAGCTAACTGTCTTAAAATGATGGCTAAAACCTGAAAGCTGAAGGAACCACTTGTGGAATGAGACAACAATTTGGCTTGCACTTAGGAATGCGTCAAATGAAAACTGGTTTAATTTTGTTGAACTAGACATGAGATGATTTAGGAGACTCGAGTGGAAGATATGATTTCCGACTATGACTGTGTCTGCCACTTTCTTCTTCTCCTATCTTTCAACGTAGCAGTCATTCTGTCTTCTCCATGGTGATCTTTGGGCCTGTGTACAACTGTACACACCCACCCACACACAAAGCTACCACAGCTTAATTAGAAATGATTTTAAACTGAGCTGGTTTAAACCAATGCAAAAGACACACTTGCTTTGGTTAAGTGTAGCTTATTTTGATTGATCTGAAATAGATTAGGAACAGGTGTAAGCTAAACACAGTCACTCTTATTTGAAACAGGAGTCTCTACACAGCCTGTTATATCAGTTCAACTAAACTGTTGTAAGTGTGTATAGAGCAGTGTTTCTCAAAAGCTGCTAACTTTCAGCTGCTAACTGGCCGCTCCCGTTTGTTTACGTACTGGCTCCCATTCGCTGCAATTTGCCATTTGCAGATAAGGGGAACCACAGGAAACGGCGTGGACCGCGGTAGCTGCTGCTTCTCCTGGCTCCTCTTAGCTGGTGGCTAGTCCGCAGGCTCCGCCCCTTCCATTCAGGCCCTGCCCCTTCCGGGGGGTGGAGCCTGCTAGTGACTACGTACCAACATTTATTAAGTGGCCCTTCTGTGAAAATTATTGTCCACCCCTGCCCTGCATTATGATGCAGAGTCTGCAGGGCCGAAATTCTGTGAAGGGCACCAAGTCACAATGTCATGCGCTGTATTTTGGCCCTGTCCGTCCCCTCATTGGGCCAGACCTGAGCACTGCTGTGACTCCTGTACACCAAGCTGCAATGCCGCTTATTCAATTTTGGTCCTGAGTGGGCTCCCCGCGGCGTTTCAAAGCGGCAGCACAGCATGGAGCCCGGGGTCAGCTGGGGACGGCGTGATTCCCCCACTGGCCTCATGCTCTGCACAGCGCTTTCGCCTTTGAAGTCTAGCAACAATCCTAGGGCTGTTGCTAGACTTCAAAGACGGAGGCCACCTTATCGACTAATCGAATGGTCGATGCAAATTGCATCGACTATTCGATTAGCCAGTTAATCTAACTTTAACATCCCAGGCACCATACTAAGTTATACTGAGAGTAGTTCAGCTGTGCATACCTTGTGAAAAATTTTAGGGGTACCCTTGTTCTTTCCTACCAAGTATAAAGAAAATCAAACATTACTTTCCCTCCTAACTTTTAACTAGATGCCACAATGATCAGCATAAGGTAAAGCAAATACATGGTCAATAATGAGAGTTGGCATTTGGCAGGTGTGGTAAGATTTGATGCATATAGCTGCCTGATCACGTAACTCAAACACAGTTCCTCTGTAGAGTATATCACCAACTTCCACACTTCAGCTTCATTTTGCCCTTCCTTGCACCTTGTATGATGCTACTCGGCTGTGCCAGGAGAATATGGTGTTACCATTCTGATTTGATAGCATTCCACTCCCTTAGCATAGGTATCAAAATATACCACAGGGGGGATAGGAGATGGAAATTCAAGCCCTCTAGTGCCATGGTCACCAACCAGTAGATCGCGATCTACTGGTAGATCTCGGAGGCTCTAAGAATAGCTCTTGAGCCCTCTTTGAACTGCGTGCCTACGCAGGACATTTACATTAGATTTCCTCATTTGAGGAGCAGCTACTCACCGAGCAACAGCACAGGTGAGTAGCTGCGAGGAATGGTGGGAATTTTTTTTTAAAGTAGCAGTATAAGGATTGGGGATAGCAAGTGATGGGGAGGAGGAGAAGAGAGAGGGCGGGGCTTCAAGGAAGGGGCGGGGCGGTAGATCCTGGCTTGGTCTGTCATTTAAAAAGTGATCTTGGGTGTAAAAAGGTTGGAGACCACTGCTCTAGTGTGTACTTCTCTCCTTCCCTTCATTCTCTGGTGACACAGGCAGTTTGTGTGTACACTCCAGTGCTTCCTCCTTAAGATCACTGTCATAAGTAGAAATAGATGAAATATTGCAGAAGGAAAGAGCACATGACTTAAGGAATCAGAGCAGGTAATACCAGAAGCGTTTCTGTGTTAGCCTCACTGGGCCTCATCTTGAAGTCCTTACTTACAGTCCAACTCCTACAGAAGTTAAAACTGAATAAGGAATTCAAAGATTGGACCCTCCGGTTATGAGCTGATGTTGCTGAAGATCTTGTAAAATGCACTCTCAGAACTATCACTCAGTGGCGCTGGCACTATTTTTAGGGGAGGGGTGCTGAGTTGCACCCCCCCACACACACACCTGTTTGCACCCCTCACCGCTTCAGGCTGGAGTCACACCTAGGGTTGCCACCACACCTGGCCTGCATCCCCTTTGCTACAAATAGTGTCTGCTCCGGGAGAATTGGCAATCTAGCCATGGCTAGAGACGGCTAAGGAGTCCCAGGAACAGGACCCCGAATGACAGCAGAGCAGGGGCGGCCCTAGACTAGCTGCCAGCAACTGGCGCCCTAGGCGAGCCATGCAATCGGCACCCCCCCAAACCCCTCAACGATATTGCGCCACCATTTGGTGCTCCATTGCGCCCCATTTAACTTGGCGCCCTAAACGCCCGCCAAGTTCGCCTCTATGGACCGGCCGCCCCTGCAGCAGAGCCTGCAGCATCAGTGGCCTCCATCCTGGGGATGGCAGGCTGTGGAGCACATGGGGATGGTGGACCCTCAGATGGTGCTGAAGCCAGTGAAACCCTGGAGGCCGGAACCCGGGGCTGATGGATTGGCAGCAGGGCCAGTGTCTGGGCACAGGGAAGCTGGGTAGAAAACCTCTGGGTACTGCAGCATCCCTACTTCCCGTGCCTGTGCTATCAGGTGTGCATCGTTCCTTCATATAACAAAAGGGTGAACACACGGGACCAACACCACATTAAAGCAGGCATGCAGGTGTCTTTGGGCTCTTTAGTAAATACTAAACAGATCGTTCCTTTTCCAAAATGCACATGCTTGCGTTTAAACCAGCGGAAAGGAACTGATTAAATGCTAGGAAATCTTTAGAAAGAATGTCTGAGTCTTACCAGTAGACTAGCTCAGGAGCACATGATGGGTTGTAATAAAACAATCCATGCTCCAGTTATAGATATTCTATATGTTAGGTCACAGTTCAGTGTCCGGGGTGCGATACATTTGGGCTCTGTCTAGACTGGCCTGTTTTTCCGGAAAAACTTGCCAGGTGTCTACACTGGTTGCTTGAATTTCCGCAAAAGCACTGACTTCCTACTGTAAGAAATCAGTGCTTCTTGCAGAAATACTATGCTGCTCCCGTTCAGGCAAAAGTCCCTTTTGTGCAAAGCTTTTGCGCAAAAGGGCCAGTGTTGACAGCTCAAGATTTGTTTTCCGCAAAAAAGCCCCGATCACGAAAATGGCAATCGGGGCTTTTTTGCGGAAAAGCGCATCTAGATTGGCACGGACGCTTTTCTGAAAAAAGTGCTTTTGCTGAAAAGCGTCTGTGCCAATCTAGACGCTCTGTTCCGAAAATGCTTTTAACGGAAAACTTTTCCGTTAAAAGCATTTCCGGAAAATCATGCCAATCTAGCCTAGCTGTTGTGCCTTTCCACTTCACCAGATCAATGTGAGACAAATGAGCAGATATTTTGTTAGGCAATGACAGCATACCAGCTGCTCAATCATATTACTGTGCTCTCTGATGAAACTCTCATTGTGAGCATCTATGAAATCTAATTGATTCATTATGGTTAAAGACCAAAGTGATGTTCTTGAAATACAGCATAAGCTATGCAGCAACTATTAGTGTGTTCACAACACCATCTAGTGTTAATTTGTGGCACTGTCGCTAGAAAATGACTTTAGGGCAGGCCCAGTCTTGGCCCTCACCTGCTTCTCTTTTCCCATCTAACAAAATGAATTTGACTGTAAAGTGATTCCTTTCTAAGGGATGATACGATGTGAATAGTATTGCAGTGGGGCAGTTACAACATGTCATCTTAAAAGTATACAGGGGATGTTAAAAGGCAGTTAATTAAGTAATTGTGGAACCACTGAGATTTTCATTGGTTACACTCGGCAGCCTCTGTAGTAAAGCACCGGCCTCTGACTACTGATTTGGCTTTGGTTTTTTTACAGAGCAACAGAAGACTAAAGCACTAGTAACTACAAGTTCCTGGAGACCCCTATGCTGTAAGTGTATGGCAAAGTCCAACTTGTTTGGAACTACTCTCAGATATGAAAGTGAAAGCTCCTTTGATTGGAGAAGGTTTAATTAATTTGAGAGAGACCTCTTTTTTTAATTAGGATGCTAAAATATGGGAGAGACGTTTTGAATGTGTTGAGTGAATTGTCCTTTGCAAGGGGCAGAAATATTGAGGGAGGGACAGGGAAAAGAGGGGGGTGGATTAAATAAATTAGCAATTAAAGATTGGTTAATCTTTAAACAAAATTGTAAACCTTGATTCCGCAAACACGTTATGTGTGCGCTTGACTACTGAGGAGCCCAATGACAATCTTAAGTCTGGCATTCCCTGATTGCTTGGTTTGTCACATTCATATATTGTTTTTGTGTGTAATGATTGTGTTGATTGCAGCCGAACTGGAGCCCCAGGCATGGCCCTGTACCCTGATGTGATCGGTACTGTACCAACACCAGAGAAAAGGACAGTCCCCATCCCCAAAAAACTTTACAAAGTCCAGAACAAGATGAGAGCAAACAGGTGATTTATTACAAGGGGGAGGAGTGACCAGATAGCAAGTGTGGAAGAATCAGGGTGGGGAATAGGTGCCTATTGGAGTGTTGTGAGCAAGATCGGGGAAGTCGTTCTTCCGCTCTACTCTGCACTGGTTAGGCCTCAGTCGGAGTCTTGTGTCCAGTTCTGGGCACCGCAGTTCAAGAAAGATGTGGAGAAATTGGAGAAGGTCCAGGGAAGACCAAAAGATGATTAAAGTTCTAGAAAACCTGACTTAGGAGGGAAGACTGAAAGAGTCGGGCTTGTTTAGTTTAGAAAAGAGAAGACTGAGAGGGGACATGATAGTGCAATGTTTCCCAATTGTATTTCGCTTTGGAACCCTTTTAAACTTGAAAGAATTTTGTGGAACCCCTAATAACAGTAGTCTAATATAGGGAGCTGAAAAAGTAGACCACAAATCAGTAAGGATAATAATAAACAAATGCTAAATAAGGTCATGAGATCAACATTTAGTTTAACTGCACATATTTAAAAACAAAACTCACATAATATCATTTTAAAAATCATATAATGTTATTGTAATGGAATTTTTTTGTGGAACCCCGGGGATCGCGGAACACCATTTGGGAAACACTGTCATAGCGGTTTTCAAGTATCTAAAAGGGTGTTACAAGGAGGAGGGAGAAAAACTTTTCTCCTTGGCAATGGGTTTAAATTGCAACATGGGAGGTTGAGGTTGGACAGCAGGAAAAGCTTTCCGACTATCAGGCTGGTTAAACACTGGAATAAGTTGGCCTAGGGAGGTTGTGGACTCTCCATCACTGGAGATATTGAAGAGCAGGCTGGATAGACATCTATCAGGGATGATCTAGATCAGTGATTCTCAACCTTTTCTTATAAAGTACCCCTTTTAAAAATATATATATAAGTACCTCCAGTACCTGCAGTTTTCAGACACACCATTTTTTTTCTACGGTTGCAATACATTTGTTTAAACAACTTCATGGTACCTGGGTGGGCGATGAAATCTTTGGGTGTAAAAAGTACAAAAATAATAAAGTGCCGTAAAACTTAAAACATTCAGTTTTCACAAAATTTCAGTTGTGTTGACGTACCTCCTAAACTTCTTTCCGGTACCCCTAAGGGTACTGCTGAAACAAAAGGCAGGACTATGCAGCACTTTAAAGACTAACAAGATGGTTTATTAGGTGATGAGCTTTCGTGGGCCAGACCCACTTCTTCAGATCAAATAGTGGAAGAAAATTGGCACGACCATAAATACCAAAGGGATACAATCAAAAAAAGTGAACACTTATCAAATAGACAAATCAGATTTTAGAACAGAGCGGGAGTGGGGGGGGAGGTTAGTGTCTATGAGATAATGATATTAGAGGTGATAATTGGGGAAGCTATCTTTGTAATGGGTGAGATAATTAGCATCTTTGTTAAGGCCCATTCGTAAAGTTTCAAATTTAAGTTCATTCATTTTATGTCTATTTTATATATGTCCAGTTTATATATAAATATATATATAAATGTCTATTTTATATGTAGTCGACTATATGTTGATATCCCTAGTTTAAAGTATCTACCCAACCCAGGTGTTACCCATAAAAGCTCATCATACTCTATGTATTTTTGTTTCTCGAAGGTGCCACAGGACAATTCGTCGTTGTTAAACTTACGGACTAACACAGCGACCCCGCTGAGCCACCAGAAGAGGAATACTTGTCGTGTCCTTTTCACACAGTTGTATTTGTTCTGGATCTCTTCACTCCCACGCCACCTTTCTTTTTAGCGCAAGGCTTCATTTCTACCGACCACCACGAGGAGGGGGTGTCTGGGAGGTCACTCATCAACTGACAGCACAACGTCAGGCAACTGAAGTATTAAATATTCCCGTATTCAAACTGGAAAGCTGAGATGCAGAGCAAAGCTCGTCCAAGGACCTGTGTCCGTGACGCAGCGGAAGACAGAACGCGGGGGTTCGCTATTTCCCCTCCTGTGCTCAGACTAAGCCTCCCGGTCTCAAAAGCATTTTAATTACGAAAGTCCCCATACAGAGGCCAAACACAGTAATAAACGTGGTCGTGTTATGCAGAACGAGGCCTCCCTTTTTGTTTGTATCCCTTGGGTACAGATGGTCGTGCCAATTTTCTTCCACAATTGGATCGTAAGAAGTGGGTCTGGCCCACGAAAGCTCATCACCCAGTACAAAAAACAGGACCATGTAGCACGTTAAAGACTAACAAGATGGTAGTTGGGATTGGTCCTGCCTAGAGCAGGGGGCTGGACTTGATGACCTGCTGAGGTCTCTTCCAGCTCTATGGTTCTATGATTCTATGTTTATAGACCCTGGTGTTAGTCTTTCGAGTGCTGCATCGTCCTGCCTTTTTTCCCCCCAGCAAAACCAGACTAACAGGGCTGCATGGCTGTTCCTAAGGGTACTGGTACCAGTGGTTGAGAAACAGGGATGTGGGTGAGGCTTGGGCCTGCCCCGAGGGCACGGGGATGGCCTCTTGGGGTCCCTTGCCGGATGCAAGAGGCAGCCCCGACGCTGAGGATTGTGCCTCCCAGCGCAGGAGTTCGGGTCCCCCCGCAGCAGAGCGGGGAAGGACGGGAGAGCCCCGCGGGTGTCCCGGGGAAGAGGCGCCCGTAGGGGACGCTGCGCGGCGCTGCAGCCCGGCCCCCGAGCGCCAGCCGGGTCCCTCCCCTCGGCGGCTGGGCGGC